CCCCAAAACCCCAAAACCCCAAAACCCCAAAACCCCAAAACCCCAAAACCCCTTTATAATATTTAGTGATTGGAAAATTTAATATGGGAAATAGAGGAACAACCGGTCAAGACAATGACCAAAGCAAACAGTCAGACACTCCAGTTATTAAGAATCATAATAATATTAGGAAGGAGACCATTAGGCTAACTAAAGTTGAGGAAGATGAAGGAGAAACTTATGCTCTAAACTTTACCTTTTCATGCTCGTATGATTGTGTGCTGACTATATATCTTTGATCAACAGAATATCGGTCGAGTGATAAGTCAGGACCTCCTGTTTATTTCCATACTCCTGATTATGTCCCAGAAAAACCAGTGAGTTATAAATTTTCTAAGGGAATCAGGCAGAAATTCCCTGAAAATGAATATATCATTGATTTTTCAAAGTTCAAAGAAGAGGATATTACGAGTTATAAGGAAGACGAATATTACCCAATTGTGATGACTATAGAGACTGACTATCCCCCACCTGTAAAGGACAACTTAAAGACTTATCATAAGAATAAGCGTCAAGCTCAGATTACCTATGGTTATTTCGCTAAAATCACGAATGGAAAGTACCAGTTCAGATTCAACAAACAATGCTTCCTTTTCCGGAACAAATTGTTCAAAATGGAAGATATTTACGGTCATGAGAAGCAAGAAGAAGATGGCAAAAATGAGTTTGATGAATCTCAAAAAGAATGAGTAGTATGATACTCAAACATCAAAGATACCATTGTTTACCCATGCAAGCATATTTGTCTTTGCTCACAATGTACTCAGATAGTAAGAATGCAAAATTCAAAATGCCCAATATGTAGAAGACAGGCTGAGAAATTCATCTGTATTCAGATAGAGAATGCTACTCCCGATGGAAATAGGAATAACTCAGATGAAAACTCAGCTCCCATATAAGCTATTTCTGAAATATTTCTAAAAATGGAACTTAATTTCAAACAGAGTCAATTACTCTTAAGAACATAGGGGTTTTGGGGTTTTGGGGTTTTGGGGTTTTGGGGTTTTGGGG